ATTTATTGAAAAACTCCTACCCTCGGTATCACTTCCCTTTGCCCAAACTCAGATACTTGGTCAGTTGGGGACACATTTTACCCTCCACAAACCAGATTCTGATATATTCCAATTCCTCTGAGGTTACACTAATGATCACACTTCGCCCTCTACTAAAATACACAGGACCAAGCTAACCATAGAAGAGGTAACCACAATTATTGGCTCCCTGATACATCTAGCAGGGGGAATAACATCAACGCTGCCGTGGTTAAAAACACAACCACAACTGTGGTTTCCCCAGCAGAGAAATCAAGACAAGACTTCAAATCCGGCCAACGCTCGCTCGACTCCTTGGCTCACACAGTACTTGACAGCCAACCAGCTTTAGACTGCTTTTTCCCCCAGGAGGGAGGAATGTGAGCTTTAGCAAATACAGTGTGTTGCACGTACATAACCCCACCAGGCAAATGAGACAAGCGCTAACAGATTTCTACAACAAGCCTCACGGCTAAAGAACATACATCTGGGAAACCTTAATCGAATATGGCAGACCCTTAAGGATGGTTTATCATCCATTCCTTGATTCCTCCCCCTCCTCGGCCCACACTGTGCTAGGCTTCTCATCCTTTTTGGTCCATACATATTCAAGAATTTAGAGTCCTTTGTTTCTAGGCATGTCCAGGCCATCAGACTTCAAATGGTACTCACCACTCACAGCTACAGCTATAGCCAGGGGATAATCAGACATGCTTAAGATTAACGAGGGAGAGATTGCACCCCTCTGACGGCCCCCTCCATTGTCCACCCTCAGCCAGAAGACGTCACAGAAGGCAGACATTCATCCTTCAGCACCACCCAAGAACGAAGAGTGAAAGGTCAGAAAGGGGGAATCTGTTACCCCGAAGCCTCTTAGGCAGAGACTGGCCTGTGGTGAGGCAAAAAGAACCAACACAAGCCAGCTCAAGCCAGGATGGTGGCAGAGCTGATCCCCAGAGGATCTCAACCCTCATTATAATCTAATCTCCTTGCTACATGACACTCCCAGCGGCTCCATGACCACTGGAAGTCACCATGACAATGACTGGAAAGGACGAGAAAAAGGGTGTAACCCTCATTCCCCGGAAAACCACCACCCCTATCCCAGAAAGACCAAGAAGATTCCTCCTTATTTGCCTGGATCACGCCGTCATCTCTAGCCTCCTATTATACATGCAACCTCTTGGCCCCAAGTGAGATGAGAAGTAGATTTGAGAGTTTCAACTCCCTCTTCTCCATTCTCTGGCCACCGAACAAAGCCTGTGCTGCGAGGTTCTCTAGGGTTTGGTGATTGGCATTACGACATCTGGAAGACAAAAGACCCTGCACTGGCGCTCAAACAAAGGGCCTAGTGCTTCAGTAAGAACTCGGTGGATTGCCCAGTGGTTTTGTGGCCCACCAACCCCTGGAAAGGCGATGAGGGGGCCCTGACAGCAAGGCTCTCCCTTGCTGTGCCCACAGCAGGAGCGCTGCCCAGTGTCCCCCAGTGTCCGACACCTAGAAGCAGCCTGGCTGGCAGTGGTGCTGCGCCCTCTGCTGGACGGAAGGGGGCTGTTCTTGGGTGCACCTCTGCGAAGGAGACCTAAGCAGGGGGCAGTAGTGCCTCTAACCACATGGTTGTTCCCAGTGCTGGAGCCTGTGGTCACACTGAGGGTGCTCTGGTGAGAGTGTTTAGGGGTGTTCCGCCCAAGCTTCCTGCAGGGGACTCACTCATTTTTGCAGTCATGATGAACGCTGTAAAGGCAGCTCAGATCTGGGGTAGCTGCTCTGCTCCCAGGGCCCATGGGTGCTGCCAAAACCCCCAACCGAAGTGGGCGGAGCTTGTACTGTCCGCCTTTTGGCCCCGCATCTGCCCAGCACTGGGCATGTAGATGGCAGCTGCAAAGCCAGAAGCAGTGGCTGTGCCAGAGGGGACTCCAGCTGCGGTAGCAATGGCTGGCCGGGTGCTGGCATGGGTGTCAAGGTGGAAGTTGTGGGTAATGAGCCCCCAAGAGTCACCTGCGTGGTGCTGCCCAAGGTTTGCTGGCCTGGAGAAGAGGCTGTGGCCTGGGCCGGGGCTGGAGCTACCTGTTTTTTACCCTGGACACAGCTGTCAAAAGTGCTGACTCCAGGCTGCTCCCCAGCAGGGGCCCCAACAATGGTCTGCCCAGTGGCTCCAGGGTTTACAGAAAGTTTCAAAGCTGAAGCGGGGCTGCAGAGACTCAATGCAGGCAGGCTGGTGGCCCTGTGACCAAGACCATACTGTCACTGCAAGGCACCTGAAGGGTCTGGGCAGATGGGAAGAAGCTCCCACTAGAGCCAGGGGGAGCCCCCAAGAGGAGACACTAGGTAGTTGGGGTGGTGTCTACAGGTGTGACCCTCTGTGTCAGAGGCAAGCTAGGGAGCCAAGCCTGCAGAGGTGCTGGCTGAGAGGCTGGCGCTGACTGCAGAAGTTATTGGCAGGCTGGTGGAGGGAGGGGCACTAAGAACAATGACTGGAGCAGGGATTTGGGAGGAGACAGGCAATCCATAGACATGGGGTGGGGGCTCCATTCTGGAGGTGTTGGAAGCAGCAGGGAAAGCAGTGGCTTTCCCTTTTCTAGTTGTTCCAGACCCTAAAACCTCCCATAGGGTGATGCCAACCCCTGCAGGTATCTCGCACTGGGCATAGCAGGATCCTAGAGCCCTGGTTCCCAGCTAGCTCTCCACTCTGGCCCCATGCTGGTGAACCATTGTGAATATGTTTGCTCTGCTTAAACCAAACACCAATTATATGTGAGAAATTTTGGGCTTGGCTGACAGCCAAGTGCCCATTCAAAATGTCAATCTGAAGAGGCAATTAAGAAAACTGTGAGCCACTTACTGTTTGCCACTCATACATTTATTCTCATTTAACAAATTAATCATCAGAAACTGATCTGTTTAGCGGCAATGGGAGTTAACAAAAGCCCTAGGATGTGGTCAGTCTTTCTTGACCTGTAGCCAACTATTTGCTCCCAACTATTGCATCAGAACAAACCTTAGTTCATGGATATTCTTCCTCCTCAGTGGTGAAGGGCATCCGGGAACCTCATGGCATCCATGCAATGGTCCAGCATACTCGGGAGAGACTCAGGGACACTAATGTTTTCCAGAGTTTGGTTGCAGGCAGGAATAAGCCCTGTTGGCTTGTGTTCTCTTTGAGTGGGGCAGCCTAGTGGACTTGTAAATGTATTTACAGGTTTACAGTCATATATTTGCATACAGAATGTTCCTTTTCTTCCATCCAATCCATCACAGCCAATAATCCAAGGTGATAGAATACAGCACATCATCCTGAATTTACATGTAAGATCACCATGTATTTATAAATTATACTTATCATGATATCCCTGGGATAAATTCCTAGCAATGGAATTTTTAAATGAGCAGATTATACACATAGTAAATTTGGATAATTAGTGTCAAACTATCCTTCTGAAAAAGGTGCCTTTTATGCAAGTTTATGCATGTAAATTTGAAATTGCATGATATAAACAACCACGTGAGTCCTGGCAGGTGTGGCTTTGTTGGCTGAGCATAGTCTCATGCACCAAAAGGTCGCAGGGCACATGCCCAGGTTTTAGGCTCCATCCCCAGTAAGGGTGTACAGGAAGCAGCCAACTGATGTTTCTCTCTCTCTCTCTCTCCTTTACTCTCTCTCTCTCTCTCTAAAATCAATAAAATGTATTTTTTTAAAAACATGTGAGTCTCCCTAAATTTTAGCATTTCAGGGGGAATCATACAATTTCAAAGCCAGCCATTGGAGTGAATTATGACTTCTGGTTATATTGCTGCCATGCAGAGGAGACAATGAACTTGTTGAACAGAAAAGGGACACAACCCTTTGTCCATGACCTAAAAAAACCACACATGAAAGCTCTTCAAATGAATTATGGTGATTCTTGGCTATTTTAACATTTACTGTTATATTTTAAAGTTGTTTTAAAAATGTCGAGTAACAAAGTCATCCATGCACTTATTAATTTTAGTGCTGAAAAATTCATCTACAATCCAGTAACTTTGGAAGGCAAATTAGAAAGGGTAAAAAAAATAAATAAATAAAAATAAGTCCAAACCACCATGGAGATACATCATGTATTTCAGGAGCACTTACACTAGAACATGCTCAAGATGACACTAAAAAAAAAAAAAAAAAAAAAAAAATTTTCTAAAAATGTGACAAAAATGTGATGTGCACCTGTCACAGACACCAGAGAGGTGTAACTGGGCAGCCACCTGAATCAGAGGAAGCAGACTGTCCCCAACCTCGATCCTTGTCTTCTCATATAAAAGAATTTATATAAAAGACTCTAGATAACATTTGCGTTTGTTCGGTGAATTTACTAAAACGTTAAAGCATGCACATTTATTAACGAAACAAAGCAGGCAAACCTATACATCTGGCTCATGAAGCTCAGACAGGCTCTCGGCTCATCTGAAGAGGAAGTGGGGTGGCAGTTTCTGCCTTATGTACCCTTGCGTCTATAGGTTTTTTTAAAAGTTTCTTTGCTAGATATCCTGGCAGAGATTAACTCTAAAAGTCTCCCCTTGTCTTTGTTATGGCTTTCCCACAATTAATGAGAGTTACCTGACAATTAAATCCCAACTCCTATCTCTTTTCTGTTTATAGTCTTCTTTTCTCCACCTCCCTGCGGCCCTAACAACTTCGAGATGATTTGCACTAAGGGGTCTCTGATTCCTCCTTCTCCTCTCCCCTTCCATTCCCCTTCCTCCCCTGCATTGTTCTGTGAGAAGGGGAGGTTTTAACTTTGTGTTCTCAAGATAAAGCCCTGCTAGCCTGGCCCATGTGGCTCAGTGTTTAAGCGTTGACCCCTGAACCAAGAGGTCACCAGTTCAATTCCTGGTCAGAAACCAGTTCAATTCCTGGTCAGCGCATGTGCCCAGGTTGTGGGCCAAATCCCCACTGGGGAGCATGCTGGAGGCTGCCAATCAATGTTCTCTCTCATCGATGTTTCTATCTCTCTCCCTCTCCCTTCCTCTCTCTCTAAAATCAATAAAGAAAGAAAAAAAAAATTCTTAAATAAAAAAGATAAGGCCCTGCTACAAGCAGTCTACAAAGCTTTATGGCTTTGTTTAAATTCCTGCCTCAATTTCCCTATTCCTCCTGCCCTGATACCTTTCTCCTAATATAACCAGGAGGGGTTCAAAATGGTCATCAGGGAAAGAAAACGGGAAAGTCCTATGACCTGGCCACAAGCACCTTTCCAGTGACAATGCCGCATGAACCAGGGGTGGGGTGTGTTTTTGCATTCCAAGATTGCAACCCCCTTTTTAATATTTATTCATATGGAATTATTGAATTATGTATGTGTTGAGTGATGTAAGATCTTTGGAAGCATGAAATGTAGCAGAGCATCCACAGAGGGATCGTGAGCTGAACCCTGGTGCCAGCCAGTAGTCTCGTGCAACGTGGCAACCGCTGGAAGGAGAACATCCACATATTTCCCTCATCATTAAAAAGGATCCTTTGAGATCTACGTTTAATTATAGAGACAATGTGGAGAGAGAGTGGAGGGAGAAGGATATGGAAAAAGCTGAGAAGCTGAACACTCCGTCAACAGTTCTCCACGGTAACAACTGACTAAAGAGGGGTCATATTGGGGGTTGCAAGGCTGGGTGAAAGGGTGAGGGGTTAAGCAAAAATAATAAAAATAAATAAATTTAAAAAATAAAAAACGGTTTTAAAAAAAGGAGTCGTATCTGCTGCTTCTGGCTTAATGTGAAGATTTTAAAAAAGAAGAAGAATTCCTTGAGCATAGCATGCGGTTCTGGACTCCAGTCTAAATATTCTCCCGTGTGCCCCATTCTGTCTGTAGCAGTGGAAGCCAACACAGGGGAGGATGACAGGACTCATTTTTACAGGAAAGATACAGATGATGGTATTTGTTCGATCCATATGTGTCCACAGAGGGGTGCCACCCATAAGCAGCTCAGTTTTCTGTTCTTTGACAATAAACAGTGACAGCATGAGTCCCAGGTTGTGACTGGACCGGCACAGTGTCTCTTCTGTGAATGAATTCTGATGACTTTCCTGGTTCTTCCTACTTGGGAGAGATAATATGTAAAAAAATGCTGAAGACAAATGAACATCTCAGAAAGTAACTAAAAAGTCTACCAGGCCTGAATTTCTAAGCTCCAAAGCTGGATAAAGAGGTCCTACTATCTGACTCTACAGCTTCCCCCACGACACCATCATAGATAGACTTTTTATTTATTTCATCTTTCTATTTTTTATTTAATTTTTTTTTTTTTTTTTTGGTACGTGCCCCCAGCAGGAACCGAACCCAAGACTCTCTGGTCCACAGGCCGACGCTCCCGCTGAGCCAAACCAGCCAGAGCTATTTCATCTTTTTACAAACATTTGCAGTGTTTACTGTGTGCCAGGTGGCATTCTAAACACTTACCATATATGACCTCATTTAATTCTCATAGGATAGATACTATTATTCCCATTTTGAAGATGCAGAAACTGAGGCACAGAGACATTAAGTGGTTTGTGCAAGGTCACAGAGCCCGGAAGTAGTATAGTTGGGGTCTGAAGCTAGGCAATTCGGCTACATTTAAACACAACAGTAATGAATCGCTTAAATGCTACAGATGAGTAATGAAGACTTTAAGGTCAAATGTGTGCTTTTTAGAATGTAAAGTATTATTCAAAGATAAGGAATTATAATCATTGTTACGGTCTTCTATCTAGTTGACTCTTGATCATTTGGAATTAATAAAAAGTAATGTTGACATTGTTGAGCATAAAGTGCTTTTGTGTACATTATTTTTGTCCTCAATCAATCAGACACTTGAGTAATGAGGCTCAGAGAGGTTACGCTACTTGACCAGTCAGAACATGAAAAAATCAAGATTTAAACTCAGATCTGGTGAATCTCAGAATCTCTGCTATGGATGTCATTATGCAACATGTTTTTGGTGACCAAGTATGTTGGGACAGTTTATTTACATAGTTCGGATCAACATACCCTTTGACCATTGGTGATTTCAGCCAAAGGTTGACCAGTGGCACATACTGTGAAAACAGAGTAATATTAGGACACAGTCAGTAGCCACATAGCAGAATTATCCTTGATGTGAAACTGCATGTTCTAAGAACAGCTGGTCCCAAAAGTTGTTCTTCAGAAGTAACAACAATTCTGGTTACAACAAAGGAAAGTTGTCAACTTTTGGAGGAAAAAACCTGTGTTAGAATTCTCTAACTGGCTGAATAGTTTTAAGCAAATCATTTGAGCTTTCCCAGTTTCAGTTTCCTTAACCTTAAACAGGAATTTTAGACACTCAACAAAAGTTCATGGGCCAGGCATTGCTCAGGCAAAAGGAAAACAATGGTAGCGCAAACCATGAAACTTAGAGAGGGTGAAGATTGACACTTTGGTATCTTAAGAATAAAACCATATAAGAAGATATGTTATGCAGATAATTAAAATAGAATGTAGTGACAGTGAGTGAGTGAGACTATCATAGAATGAGTGGTTAGTGAAACCTTCTCTGAGGAGGTGACATTTCAGTTGAAGTGTGAACATTAATGAGACAACCTGGCAGAATGAAAGGGAAGAGCAGGAGGAAACAGCTGGTGCAAAGACCCTGAGGCAGGCATGCACCTGGGAAGTTCAGGGAATTGAAAAGGAGCTGACACAGCTGAGTAGAGGTGTTGGGCCAATTTTAACTGATGATAGGAGGTTCAATTTGATTCTAAATGTGATGGGAAGCCAAATTTTTAAGTAAGGGAGTAAAATAATCTGATTTACATATTTCACTGCCACTCTGGCTGCTATGTAGAGAATGGGAAAGGGAACGAAGAGAGTGAGAGAGGAAAGAAAAGGAGAGAAAGGAAGAACAGCTTTTCTGACTTGGGTCTCAAAAACCAGAAACTTCAGCTTCATAATGCAGGACCTTAATGCAATTTCACTTTTCTTTCAGATCAAGGAACCAGGATTTTCATGGTAACACAAGATATTGGGTTCAGACAAGTACACCACGTTGCAGAGAAGCTGGTCTTACCACTCTGGTGTGGACAGTAGAGGGAGAGACCTCAGTGCTTCCAGTTCCATCCTCTTTCTGCACCCCACTGAAGTGACTAAACCATTTCTTGTATTCCATTTTCACCTGGAAGTTTGAGGAACATAGAGGTTTGTGTTACATCCAGAGCTTGGTTCCGAAGAAAGGACCCTAAAATAGGAGACTAAAGATATAAATGCCAAGCCCTACTCTCTGCAGCTCTTTTATTGGTTTTCTGTATAATCTTGGCCATGCTTGTATTGATTTTTTTAACTTGATTTCCTTAGTTGTATAAAAGGTGTTTACTAAATGTCAAGTACTATAAAGACTCTATATATGGCGATAATAGGAAAGTGATGATGGTAATGGTGATAAAGGTGATGATGTTAATGATGATGAAAATGAGAGTAATGATGAAAATAAGGAAGGTGGTGATGATGATGAAGGTGATTATGATGATTATTGTAGTGATAATCATGGTGATGATGGTAATGATGATGGTGGTGATTATGGTGCAGATGATGATGATGGTGATGATTATAATACCTCACCACAGGAGAATTATTCATCCTCTCTCTGGTGAATTCAGGTTTGGCCACGTGACTTGCTTTGGCCAATGAAAGAGAGCTAAGTAACACTGTGCTGTGATCACCTTTCCCTTTGCCATGAGAAAACCAGTGTTCTACATAGGGATTGCCCCTTCAGTCTACATCCCCAAGTGAAGACAATGTAGCTCATGTAGCATGAGCAAGAAATAAATCTTATTGTTGTAAGCCACTAAAATTGGGGGAGGAGGACTATTTGTTACTGCAGCATAATCTACCTTATCCTGACTGATAACATGCTCTGCTTTGAACTGGTTTTTGTCCTCTACTCCCAAATTAATATGTTAAAGCTTTAGCTCAACAATGTGACTGTATTTGGAGATATGGCCTTTATGGAAGGTTAAATTGGTCATAAGGGTAGAGCCCTGACCAATAGATTTAGGGTCCTTATAAAAAGAAGCATGAAAGCTCTCTCTCAATCTCTCACCCATGTGAGGACACAGAAAAAAGATGGCTCTCACCAGAATCTGACCCTACTTACATCTTGATCTCAGATTCCAGCCTCCAGAATTCTGACAAGATAAATTTCTGTTGTCTAAGCTACATTGCCTCTGTTATTTAGAATGCATGTTCTTAAGAGATATGCTTGAATGATAAATGTTAGGAGGCTAAGTGAAACCCAGAGCACATAGCAAATCTAAGCAACACCTAAACCTTCTTCCCAGACTCAAGGCAACCCCAAAATAAAAAGGTCAGAGAAGAACAATAAATGAACAACCACTTTATAAGGCTCAGAGACAAAGTAATTAGCTTTACCTGCTGATTGAGGAGACAGTGTACCACAAAGAGCAAAACCCCCTGCAGGACATTGATAATGGTGAACATGTAGGCAATGACTGATCCAATTGTCTTCCCAACTTCATCAACCATAAAAAGACCAAGGCCCCAAGAACAGCCCAGGATAAACAGCTGAGCAATGGCTTTAAATGTCATGACTCTGAAAAGGAAAAAGAGTAATAATTACTTCTGTTTATCAGGGACTCACTGCTTGTTGGGCACTGTGCTCATTGCTTTACATGAATCACCTTCTTTAACTTTATAACAACCTTGGATGGTTAAGCAGCTTCCACAAAGGTACATAGCTTGAGAATGAGGCAGAACAAGTGTTTTCAATTGCCTCTGAGGATAACACTTTCTCCTACTCTTGGAAATGATTTCCCTGCAAAGTCTGTTACCTGGACTTATTGGAAGATTTATGCATTCTAGAAGTTTGTATTGAAAACTATGGATGAGCCCTAGCCAGTTTGGCTCAGCGGTTAGAGCATCGACTCATGGATCAAAGGGTCACAGATTTGATTTCCAGTCAAGAGCACGTACCTTGGTTGTTGTGGGCACCATTCCCGGCCCCAGTTGAGGTCGTGTGGAAGGCAACCAATCAAAGTGTCTCTCTCATATTGATGTTTCTCTCTCTCTCTCCCTCCTTTCCTCTCTACCACTCTATCTAAAAACCAATAGAAAAATATCCTCGGGTGAGGATTAACAAAATAAAAATGTGGATAACGAAAACATCATGACTTCAGAACATAACACAGTGTTGGATTTCTTCAAACAAAAATTGTGTCTAGAATAGGATTGTTGATGGCCATGGGCTGGGCAAGCTCATGTATGTCACTGTATGTGAGTATGCACCTGTGTGTGTACAGGTGTAGAGGTATGGAGAAACACCAAGAAGGGTGACACTGCCTCTCAGGATCAAAGAAACTGAGGCTGAGATATTAGGTTGGTCTTATAAGTACATGAGATCAAAGGCAGGGTCTGAAGTTGGACAGAAATTCCTTTAAGTTTTGTCCACATGGCTCACCAATGCAAGGATCTTAGCCACTCTTGGATAAGATGAGCAGTTTGTTTCTCTTATCAATGGGGATTTTAGTAGTGCCTACCAGAGAGGTTGGCATCATGAGCATTCAATGAACTAATCTTGATAAATGCACAGCATCTATCAAGTTCCTAGTTAATATTAGTTGTTGTCATCAGTGTTTTTAATAATTTATTCTTTTATTATTAAGTTCTTTTTGTTATAGATGTCTCTCCTTTTTCCCCCAGACATCCCCCTCCCCTCGCCCAAGCATTGTTTCTATGTCCATTGGTTACATATACATGCATATAAGTTTTTTGGTTTATCTCATTCCTCCTCCCTGTCCCCCTCCTCTGAAGTTTGTCAGTTAGAACTGTACTCCTTTCTTTGTCTCCGGGTCTGTTTTGTTTGTCAGCTTTTTCTGTTCATTGTATTCCACAAATAAGTGAGATCATGTGGTATTTGTCTTTTCCTGATTGGCTTATTTCATTTAGCATAATACTCTCCAGGTCCCTCTGTGTCATCTCGAAGGATAAGAGATCTTTCTTACAGCTGCATAGTGTTCCATTGTGTACATGTACCACAGCTTTTTTTTTCTATCCTCACTCGAGGACATTTTTGCATTTATCTTCAGATAGAGTGGGAGGGAGAGGAGGGGAAGAGAGAGAGAGAGAAACATCTATGTGACAGAGACACATCGACTGGTTGCCACCCACACAACCCCAACCGGGGCCAGGGACAAACCGCAACCAAGATACATGCCCTTAGCGGGAACCAATCCATGGGCTGACCCTCTAACTGCTGAGCCAAACTGGCCAGGGCTATACCACAGCTTTTTTATCCACTCATCCATTGATGGACCCTTGGGCTGTTTCCAGATCTTAGCAATTGTAAACAGTGTGCTTTGAACATAGGGGTAAATATATTTTTTCTGATTGGCATTTCAGAATTCTTAGGATATACTCCTAGAAGTGGGATCACTGGGTCAAATAGTAGTTCAATACTTACTTTTTTTATTTAGGTTAGCACCAATGAGAATTTAGTTTCTACAACCAAGGAGAATGGAATCCAAAAGTGTGTGGATTCTCACAGACAAAAGGATAATGTTGATTACCTTGGCATTAATTTTATATGAAGAGTGAGCTATACAAATGAGGCACCCAACAAATATTTATTGAATAAGAAATGAGGGAGTACATGAAATCAACTGAAAATTATAGTTTTTACTTTTTCTATAAGTTGTCCCTCATGTACTCTTTATCTAGTACCAGGAAATTCTATATCCCATTTTTGTATGGTTTTTCTCTCCCAGGAAGAGTTGTCCTGTAGGAAAATATGGATATCACTGATTCTGGTACCTTCTTACCTGGTATCCTGAATGGTGGAAACTTCTTTATTGAGGGAGGAAAGTTTGCTTCTCAAAATCCACAGAATTTGGAAGTAGAACACCAAGTTTATCTGTAGAAACAGCATGGAAAATTGATTTCAAATTTTCTTTTGAGGCCATGTCATGCAACCCAACTTGAGATGAACCTAAGAATGTTTTCCCAAAATATAAAGGCTGCATGAGGTTGGTATGGACACATGCTCTGCTCTAAACAGCACACAGTATAACCTGTGGCACTTGGTGCTTGATCAGGTGACTATATAATTTATCATTCAAACCAGGACACCTTAAAAGTGAAAAAGTGCTATTAATATTTATATCAGGACAATGGACATAAAAGTACATTACTGGCCAACAGAAAAACATGTTACTCTATGCAGAGTAGATATTTGCTAAATATTTGTTGAATAAATGAATGTAGAGTTTTGTTGTTGTTTTTTTTAAAGAATGTCTGGTAAAGAGTTATATCCAAGCAACCAGTGAGCTGGACAGAAGCCAAGGAATGACACATGCAGACAGTATTTCCAGTAAGGGAGGTTGATCACAGTAGGTTATATTTTCTTATCTTTATATCATTTCCCTTTTAACAGGTAAGAAAGACTATGTTTGCCCTGCCAGTTTGGCTCAGCGCTTGAAGCATAGCCTGCAGACCAAAGGGTCTCAGGTTTGATTCCAGGCCCTGGTCAGGGTCGTGTGGGAGGCAACCAACAGATGTGTCTCTCTCACATCAATGTTTCTCTCCCCACCCCTTTCCACTCTATCTAAAAAGCAATGAAAAAATATCCTCGGGTGAGGATTAACAAAAATAAAAATAAACACTATGATTGGCCATCCCAAGGCAGGCACACCAATAAATAACCATCAATGACCACCTACCAAGACAATGATGGCCACTGGCCCTATGAAGCTCCAGATGAACCCTTTATCAAGCTTGAGCCAGCAGCTGTTGAGAGAAAGATAAGGATTTGCTGTTTATTTTTCAGAAGGAAAGGAACTTAATTCAGGCTCCTGTAGCAAGTTCTGAGCGGTGCCAGAAGCTGCTTAGTTCAGAGCTGGGTTTTAGATGGAATCAGACATGGATCTTCTCTAATGCAGGCTGTATGCTCTGAGCCTGTTTCCCCAGGTGTAAAGTGGGGTTAACAAATACTGAAAAAAATTAAATGATTACCATGGCTATCTCCCAAGGTTTGAAGTCAGGTTGGGTGATTCCTGTGACTTTGTCCTTCTCTTTCAATATTGTGTTAACTACTCCAGTCCTCTCCACATAAACATTAAAACCAATCTGTCAAATGCCCACAAAATAATTTTCTTGGATTTTGATTGTGAATGCATTGAACCTATAGATCAAGTTGGGAAGAACTAACTTCTTGATAATACGCAGTCTTTCTATCCATGAACATGCACTATGTGTCCAGTTATTTGAGTCTTCTTTGATTTCTTTCATCAGTGTTTTCCTCATAGAAAATATTAAATGAAGTAATGTGTACACAGTTTTTGGATACAGTTCCTGGCATAGTTAAGGCTCAATAAATATAGGTATTCTAATAATAATGATTACTATAATAAGAAAGAGAGTAAAAATAATTTTGTCATTTCAAGAGTGTTATATAATGAGAACCATGTGAAATGTAACTTTTGGTAGTGATTACACCTCAATGCATGTGATAAAATTGCACAGAACTAAATACACAAAGGAGTACAAGTAAAATGAGAAGTATGAATAAGATCAGTGATTGCTTCGATGTCAACGTTCTGGGTGTGACCAAGAAACTTTTGGAGGTGTGGATATGCTTATTACCTTGATTGTGGTGATGGTGTCGAAAGGGGCAGGAGAAAATATTAAAATAATAGAAAATATTAGGAGAATATATAACTAATCATAGTGGGGCACTAGCCATAGTTATAAAAAAATGTTAATTATCCTTTGCAGTGTTCATCGTGATTGCTTTGTTCTGATTAAAGAAAAGTCTATTCTAACCTGGCTGGGAGGTACAAGCTTTGGGAGTTTAACTTAGAAATTCTGTCCATTCTCCTAATGTGAGAACAAGGGGGAACTACTTGACACCATGAAAAGATTAACAACCTGACTCTCAAAGCATTGGAACCATTATGGTGACTCACATTGCAACCAGCCTCTGCAACCCAGCACACATCCCTCCCTCTTGCCTGTAACCATTTTACACATTATTTTTTCTTTTTGCCTAACTGCCTTTTCTCATGCAGTCTTTTTCTTTCTACCCTTTAAAAATGACTGACTAGTGAGGGGGTGGAGAGTAGATTTTATGGGATGACTCACTGTGCTCCCACACTGTCAGCCATATTAAAATAAATGCTCATAGCCCGGCCAGTGTGCCTTAGTGGTTGAGCGTCAACCCACGCACCAGAGGTCGCTGGTTTGATTCCTGGTCAGAGCACATGCCCAGGTTGTGGGCCCAATCCCCAGTGTGGTGCATGCAGGAGGTGGTCAACTGAAGTTCTCTCTCGATGTTTGTATCTCTCTCCCTCTCCCTTCCTCTCTAAAAAATCAATAAAGAAAAAAATGTTTTAATAAACACTCATATATGTCTCAAACTTGTCTCTGCTTAATTGGCTCAAGTAGCGACAGGTGGCCTGGACCCATTCATTGTCCAGTTTCATATTTGTCTGAATAGGACCTGAATAGGGGAAATAGGACCTGAATTTTACCAAAATTCTCAAAGGGATTCACCCCCGAGATACTGAGAACCACAGCTCTAGGAATTTCCAGGAGAAAATGGAATTCAGTCTTAATAAAGAACTGGTTTGAACTGTAATTCACAAAAGGAAAATGGAATTTAAAGCAATGTTTTTTTATTTCAGATCATGTATTGGCCATGGGTGCCACTTCTACCATAAATGCTTTCATCATGCTTACTGAGTATATGTTCCATAATTTCCGTGTCCTACTATTGCAGATACAGCCACAATCAGAGCTGGAATCCCGTAGCCTACAGGGTACATGAACTTCTTCTTGAATCTGCCTGTGGTGGTGTAGTTGGCCACCTTGAGGTTCCTGACCGTGAGGAAGAGGTGCAGCCCTTCCAAGAACATCCAGGTAAAGGAGGCCAGGTAGAGATAATGCAATACCCCTGCAATGATGGAGCACAGAACCTGAAAGGAAGAGAAGAGTTAGGAATGTGGTGCCAGTGTAGTCTGTACCTGATTATATCCTCAGCAGTTATCATTTCTTGGATGCTAGCTGGAATTTTAATTCCAACACCTGTGACATTTTGCCTGGGGCAACGCATTTTCTGGGGCCTTTCACTGGCCATTGAAGCCTGCTTGCACCGTGCATGGGGCAGGCCAGAAGCATCAAGGAATGAATGCCATGGAGCAGCCCTCAAACCGTGACAGATGAGCATTGGTAAATAAATGCTCCATTGCTCTTGTCCTTTGGGAGGCTGCGATGGTTAATATTATGTGTCTTCTTGACTGGGCTAAGGGATGTCCAGATAGTGAGGAAACATTTCTGGGGGTGTTTGTGAGGGTGTTTCTGGAAGAGATTAACATTTGAATCAGTAGATGATGAGTAAAGAAAATTGCCCAGTAAGAGTGGGCATCATTCAATCCATGAAAAGCCTGAATAGAACAAAAAGATACAAGAAGGGAGAATCCACTCTCTCTTCTTGAGCTGAGATGTCCATCTTCTTTACCCCTTGGACATCAGCATTCATGGTTCCAATAAAATGTTATTTACAAAATCAGATTGTGGACCAGAATTGGCCTGAGCACCATAGTTAGCCAACTTCTTCCAATTTTGAAATGAGGAAACCGAGGCCCAAAGAAATAACAGTCTCTCCCAATATCACACAGCTAGTTAAAAACAAAAATCTATTTGAAACCCAAACTGTCTTCAGAGACCATACTTACTCTTAACCATAGCACTTTGCTCTCTTTTAGGGAGGAAAATCGTGCTTTTATAACTTTCTGATGGTGAGGTCATAGTCTTTAGGGTTAAAAGGAACCTTGGAGAACATCTGGTAACAATTCTTCCTGGATGTGATGATATGGTAATGATCATGATCTGGTGAAAATGTTGTTCTCTGAGTGATTAATCCAGGCTCTATGTTTTATTCTTGCTAAAGCCCTATGATGATTTCATTGTTTTGGAGATGACTAATGAGTCGTAGGCTTGATTCCAGTCAAGGGCATGTACCTCAGCTATGGTTCGTCCCAACCCTGGTCAAGGTTGTGCAGGAGGCAGCCAGTCGATATGTCTCTCTCACATTGATGTTTTTCTCTCTCTCTTCCATCCTCCCTCTCTCCTTCTCACTCTATCTGAAGATAGATGGAAATATATCCTCAGGTAAGAATGAAAAAAGGGTGGAGGGTCATTTCAACAAGGTCATATAGCAAGTAGGATGAAGAGTTGAGATACAAGTACAGATTGTGTAGCAAAGACACTGTCCACCAAATATGCAAACCTCCATCCACCCCTCAATTCTAGAATATAGATTTGTCTCTAAGAAATTACTTCCCAAGGCTGGAGTGGGGGTAGGACTAGGGAGGAGAGGGTCAATGGGGGAAAAGGAGGGACATCTGTAATACATTCAATAATAAAGATGAGTTTTTAAAAAAGAAAAAAAAAATTACTTCCCAGCCAGAGAGTACATTTCCCAGCATGTCTTGCAGTTAGGTGTGACCATGTTCTAGCCAACAGCATGTAAGAGGAAGTGACATATACCACTTCCTGGGATAGCCTATATAAGCCTCCCTCATGGGACTCTGTGCCATGCTCTTTTCTCTTTCCAGTTGGCTAAAATGGAAAGGTACCCAGGATGACCTTGGAAGCTGTGTATGAGATAGAAGAGCCTCCATCATCTTGTTTGCTCACCTTCTACTGATACATACAGGTAAAGTGAACTACTCTTGTGATAAGCCACGGCATTTCAGAGTTCATTTGTTACAGCAGCTATTGTAAACCTGTATAGTACCATCAGTCTGCCTCTCAATCACTTTGCTCATTGCCCCTTAGAAATTATAGGCCTTGTCAAAATTACACAGGAGGAGGGCTGAAATGGGGACTCTTGCATTTTCCCCCAGGTGACTGTTACCTCTCTCCCCACCTTTCCTCAAGACAATAGATTTGATTATGATAACAAGAAAATGTGGTTAAATTACCTACCTCAGGCTCAGTTTGATCAATCCCTGTGAGGAAGAGGAAGTGGGCCAGGAAGAGGCAGATGCATAGCTGCAGATGGAGGGAGGTGCTGGTGTTGTGGATGGGTCGGCACAGGATGAAGGTGAGGGATGCCAGGAGAAGACACAGCAGAGACAGGCTCAGTCCCACGTAGGTGATCACAGTCAGAATGGGATCCACCTATGAGCCACCAAAGGAGGGACCCGTTATAGTGTCCACCTCTGTAGTTATATTCCTTATAGAGAGTCAGATGGACTTCCTAGTTCAGGCCCTCAGATGAGTGCAGATGAGTGAGTGAACCTCTCTGAGACTTGCTGTTCCCATCTTCAGAATAGGGGCATGCAAAAGAGCATGTACCACATTGGGCGGTTGAAAAACCAAAACCACTAGACATGCTGTTGAATACAAATATGTGAGCCACATGTATAATTTTTTTTTTAATCCTCACCCGAAGATTTTTTTTTTTTTTTTTTTTTTTTGCCTTTATCTTCAGATAGAGAGTCAGGGAGAGAGATAGGGAGAGAGAGAAACATCAATGTGAGTGGTTGCCACCTACACAATCAGGGCCGGGGACAAACTGCAACCAAGGCACGCAACCTTAGCAGGAACTGAACCCGGGACCCTCTGGTCCGCACCCCAATGCTCTAACCGCTGAGTCAAACCGGCCAGACATGCTGTTGAATACAAATCTGTGAGCACTGTGTATGCTTCCATTTATTTGTATCTTCTTCAACTTCTTTCTTCAATGCCTTACAATTTTCTGAGTACAGGTCTTTTACTTCCTTGATTAAATGTATTTCTAGGTATTTTTTATATGATTGTTTTCTTAATTTATCTTTTTTATAGTTTTTTATGTATTAAAAATACATCAATTTCTGAATATTAATTTTGTATCCTGATACTTTACTGAATTCATTTATTGGTTCTAGTGCTTTTTTTAGTTAAATCTTTATGACTTTCTATATATAATATCATGTCATCTGCAAATAATGACAGTTTTACTTCTTCCTTTCCAATTTGGATACATTTTATTTCCTTTTATTGTTTGGTTGCTATGGCTAGGGCTTCCAAAACAATGTTGAATAAAAGTGGTGAAAATGGACAACCTTGTCTTGGTCCTGATCTTAAGTAAAACACTTTTAGCTTTTCCCCATTGAGTATGATATTAGCTGTGGGTTTGTCATATATGGCTTTTATTATGTAAAGGTATATTCCCTCTGTTCCCACTTTGCTGAGAGTTTTTATCATAAATGAGTGCTGGATTTTTCTCTTTTTCTACATCTATTGATATGATCATATGATCTGTATCCTTCATTTTTTTTATATGGTGTATCATGTTAATTGACTTGCAGATATTGTACAAACCTTGCATCCCAGGAAAAAATCCCACTTAATTATGGTGTATGATTTTTTAATGTATTGCTGTATTTGGTTTACCAATATTTTGTTGAGGATTTTTGCATTAATGTTCATCAAAAATATTTTTCTATAATTTTATCTCTTTGTAGTATCTTTATCTGGTTTTAAAATTAAAATAATGTTGGCCTCCTAAAATGAGGTTGGGAGTCTTCTCTACTCTTGAAATTTGGGGAATAGGTTGAGGATAAATGTTAGTTATTCTTTGAATGTTGGGTAAAATTCACCTGTAAAGCCATCTGGTCCAGGACTTTTGTTTGTTGGGAGTTGTTGTTGTTTTTAATTATTGCTTTAATTTTGTTGGTTGTAATTGGTCTGTTCAGATTTTCTGTTTCTTCTTGATTCGGTTTTGGAAAATTGTATGTTTCTAGGAATTTATCCATATCTTCCAGATTGTTTAACTTTTTTCACATGTAGTTGTTCTTAATATTGTTTTATAGTCCTTTGTATTTCTGTGGTGTCTATTGTTACTTCTGCTCTTTTATTTCTGATTTAATTTATTTGGTTCCTCTCTCTTTTTTTCTGAAGAGCCTGGTTAAAGGTTTATCAGTCTTGTTTTTCTTTTCAAAGAACCAGCCCTTGGTTTTATTGATCTTTTGTATTGTTTTTTTAGACTCTGTTTTGTTTATTTCCATTCTGATCTTTATTATTTCCTTTTATCTGCTCACTTTGAGCTTTGTTTATTGTTCTTTTTCTATTTCCTTTAGATGTAAGGTTTGATTATTTATTTGATTTTTCTTGTTTCTTGAAGTAGGCCTGTATTGCTATGAATTTTCTTCTTAGGGCTGCTTTCACTGTGTCCCATAGACTTTGGGTTGTTGTATTTCATTTTCATTTGTCTCAAAGAAACATTTGATTTATTTCTTGATCTCATTATTAAGCCATTCATTGTTTAGTAGCATGTTATCTAGCCTCCATGTGTTTGTGTCTCATAAAGTTTTTTCTTGTAGTTGATGTCTAGATTTATAGCATTGTGTAGTATATCACTTAAGGCCACTGTTTTTTTGTTGATTTTCTTTCTGGCAAATCAATCCATTCATGTCAATGGGGTGTTAAAGTCTCCTACTATGACAGTATTGCTATTGATGTCTCCCTTTATGTCAATCAATATTTGCTGTATATATTTAGGTGCTCCTATTTTGGTTTCATAAACATTTGCAAGGGTTATATCCTCTTGTTGGATTGATCCTTGTATCATCAATGTGCTTCTTTTTCTCTTTCTATAGCCTTTGTTTTAAAGTCTATTTTGTCTGATATATGTAATGCTACCCAGTTTCTCTTGTTTCCATTTTCATGAAATCTATTTTACCATCCCTTTACTTTCCATCTCTGTGTGTCTTTCTATCTGAAGAGGGTCTCTTGTACACAGCATATGTATGGGTCTTGTGTTTTTACCCATTCAGCTACCCTATGTCTTTTGATTGCAGTATTTAATCCATTTACATTTCAAGTGATTATTGATAGATGTATAGTTATTGTCATTTAATTATATATTTATGTTTTGTTTTGCTTTCCTTTTTTTTAAATAAGTCCTTTTAACATTTTTTATAATTCTGGTTTAGTGGTGATCAACTCCTTTAGCTTTTTCTTGTCTGGGACACTCTTTATCTCTGCTTTAAGTCTAAATAATAGCCTTGCAGGGTTAAGTAGTCTTGGTTGTAGGTCCTTGGTTTTTATAACTTTGAATATTTCATACCAATTCTATCTAGCCAAAAAATTTTCTGTTGAAAAATTAGCTAACATTTTTATAGATATTCCCTTGTAGGTAACTAACTGCTTTTCTCTTGCTTCTTTTAGGATTCTCTGTCTTTAACCTTTGCCATTTTAATTGTGATATGTCTTGGTGTGGGCTTCTTTGAGTTCATCTTGTTTAGAACTCTGCACTTCCTGGACTTGTATGTCTATTTCCTCTGCCAGTTAGGAAGTTTTCAGTCACTCTGTCTTCAAATAGGTCCTCAATCCTTTGCTCTCTGTCTTCTTCCTCTGGTACCCCTATGATGAAAATCTTGTTTTGCTCATATCATCCCAGAGGTCCCTTAAACTATACACATATTTTTATTCTTTTTTTGTTTGCTGTTCCAATTGGGTGTTTTCTGCTACCTTGTCTTCCAAATCACTGATTCAACCCTCTGCTTCATCTAATCTGCTGTTGATTCCTTCTGGTCTTTTTTTTTTTTTTTTAATTTCAGTTATTGTAGTCTTTATTTCTAACTGGTTCTTTTCTATAGTTTCTATTTCTGTTGTTATGCTTATTATCTCTTTGTGGAAGTTCTCTCTAAGTTCCTTAAGCATCTTTATAACCAATATTTTGAACTCCATATTTGGTAGATTGCTTGCCTCCATTTTATTTAATTCTTTTTCTTGAGATTTCTCCTGTTCTTTCATGTTTCTTTGTCTTTTCATTTTGACTGCCTTTCTCAGTTTGTTTCTATGTAGTAGGTAGATCTACTGCATCTTCCAGTCTTGGCAGAATGGCCTTATGTAGTAGTACATGTCCTGTGGGGCCCGGTGGTGCAGTCTCTCTGCTCACCTGGGCCAGGTGCTCCAGTAATGTCACTGATGTGGATACTGTGTGCCCTCCTGTTGTAGTTGAGCCTTGATTGTTGGTGGAATGTCAGTGGATGGATTGATTCTCAGGCTGGCTGGCTGTGAGGACTGGCCACAACCACAGTATACAAGCTGCTCTCCAGGGGCTGACCCCAAGGAGTAGGATTTGCCCCAGCAGGGTCTGGTACCTGCTGAGACCATGCTTTGGGTCTGCCACTTGTGGAGCTAATCGGGTGGTGCTCTGCTGTGGTCTGAAACAGGCCACCAGGTGTGTTGCTTCTGGAGCCTTTTAAGAGGAGCTCTGGTGCAATCCAATGTCAGATGCTGCCTATGATCATCCCAAGGCTTCCTGTTAGGAGCTACAAAGTGACTGCAGTTGGTAGCTGCCTTTGCTAAGCCTGGATTCATGTGGAAGAGATCATGCTGAGAACTGAGGACAGCTTCCACCAATACCAGACCTGAGGCAGGTCATCAAAAGGTACAAAGCACTCAAAGACCCACCACCACCTGCTGTGCCACTTAAAGGAGCCTCAGGCAATGCTTGACTTGGGTGACACAGGGTCTCAAAGAGTCACCAGGGTAGGGCTAGTGGAGTTCACCAGGCTAACTCAGATTCAGGTTTAGATGTGTGGGGGTGGGCTGAACACAGGGACAATGTCTGCCATCCCTCTAGCCCTCATTCTGAAGCCATATAACTCAGTTTATTCTTGTGTGTGTCTGGTGGCCCCCAAGCCACTGTCCCTCTGCCAGAGCCCAAGATATGAGTGCCTGCAAGTGAGAGTTTGTGCACAGGTCATTTAAGAGGACACCTGGTTTTCAAGCAGCCTCTTGTCTGACCTGGACTGACAGAATCTCACTGATTTTCACAGCCTGATGTTTCATGGACCCATATTCCCAGCACTGGTGCTCTGGGCTGGGGAGTCTGGTATTGGGTTGAGACCTCTCACTCTTCAGTGGGAACATCTTATTGAGAAATCCCTATGGATTATCAACTACCACATGTGGGTTTGGGGCCAGCCCATTTCACATATCTGCTCCTTCTGCCAGTCTTGATGTGGTTCTTTCTTTACATCCTTAGTTGTAGACTTCTGTTCAGCTAGTCTTCATGTAGTTCTCCAAGTTGATTGTTCTATAATTTAGTTGTAATTTTGCTGTGCTCATGGAAGAAGGTGAGCACAGCTTTATTTACTCTACCATCTTGACTGGAACTCTACACTGCTTCTTAAATAAATTAAAATTAAATAAAATTTAAAACTTGGTTCTTCGGTTACACTAGCCACATTTCATGTGCTCAGTAGCTACTTGTGGCTGGTGATACTATTAGAAAACACAACACTCAGAAGTAGTTTCCATGAACATTATGATTTCTTTGTCTTGTTCCACAGTCTAGAACAGCATCTGACATATAGCAGATACTCAACTTGTTGAACGAATAGAATGAGGTTATGCATTAGTTATGCAATAAAATGGTTATCATCCAGAAAATATTCAAAAAATGAGAGGTAAAAAGAAATAAGGGAAGAAGTTAGGTAAATTTTTTTAACCTGAGTTAACCTAGATATGGAAGTTCAGGGGGCTTTGCTTTTTTATTGATGACAGTCGGTTGCCTTCTTCTAGTCTGAACAGGAAGGTTTAGATGTAACTCTCTTTTACAGAGTAACAGATGATTTTATCCCAGATCACCTTGGAACTTTCCACTATAGGAGCTGACAACCCAACTTCCCAATGTCTGAGGGCTTCCTCTACTAACTTGAGCTCACCCTGCCATGCCCATAGGAGTGTCAGAGAATCATTGTCCCCTGGATGTAGCTTTCAACTAATGACTGGAGGGAAGTGGTGTATAAATACCCCAGCTCTCTCACATTCAGTTAGAATGAACTACATTGACCTCCAGAATGCTCCAGAAGGAAGTAAGCTCCAGTTACCCACAGTGGTAACTGGCTTGATGATGCTCTCAGCATGGCTTCTGTCCTTTTCCCTTTTCACATCCCCAGTCCTCTGCTAGTGCTTCCTAGAACTACCTCTCAAGTAAGATACTTCTGCTTGACTCCACATCTTAAGAGACTTTTTCTAAGTCATGGAGAAGATGACCTCCCAGCTTCCTGGACACACTTAGATTCATAGGAAGAAACCATAAATCTTGGTACCTTAGGAGCAAGAGCCACGAGGATAGCAAAGCTGGAAAGGTGGGTGCACTTGCATGTGGTGTAAGAATCATTGCTGCCCACATGAGTGCAGCCTTTCGTCGACCATCTGCCTCCCTCCTCTGATCCTTCCCAGTATACACACAAATTTTTTGTTCTCGTACCACCAGGCTGGAAAGAGAATAGCATAAAAGTGGCTCTCTTTCTGGTTTTACTATCTTAACTTCATATAAGTTGGTCAAGGATTCACTGAGTTGGAAACTGGATGGGAAAGCCCATCATCTGGAACACGATGAAGGTAAAGAGTTTTATACCACACTTGTGTAGGCTTTATTCTCATTGATTTTGGCCCTGCTCTGGTCATCTCATAGCCCTGGGAATTGACGCTTATTAACTGCTTTACCAAGATTGCCTGTCATTGGTAGGGCCAATGAGAGGAACTGGTGAAAAATCATTGGATGAGAGTGAAAGACGCATATGTGTTTCTTCCATACTTCTATCTCCAGCAGGGCAATCCCTCCTCCATGCCTCCATCTTTCACTGGGTTCAATAATGCTCATGCCTCCATTTCCCTTTTAGGCTTAAATGTGATAATAGCTTCTCTGGAGGCCTCAATACTTATTGTTGGTTCTCTGAACCCTGGATAATCAGAGTTGGATTCGGTTACCTTCCAGAACCCTGATAACACACCCACTTAACAATGCAGAAAACCAGCTCTGGGATTTGCTCACCTGAGTATGTTTGAAGGTCAAGAACACAGGTTTAGACAGACTAACTTTTTCCGTTATACCAATGGTGCCACTCACAACATGAGAGTTCAGTTTTATGTCCAGTATTCCTTTTCTGTCACTGAAAAAGGATCCATTCAGAATATCCCCAAGAGACCGGTAAGTGATAAATGCAACTGAACTCTCTGAGAAAACAGAAGAGAAATCACTTTATAGGGTATCCACAGTTTGGTGAATTGGAAAAAAAAAAAAAAAAAAAAAAAAAGCATTGTAGTCCCCACACTTTGGCCCAGTGCCTAGAAATGAGACAATAGTGCCTAGAATCTGAAGGTCAAGAGAATCCTTCCTAGACACAGTACCTCTTGTGGTTCCTTTGAAAGCATCAGTGCAGTCAAAATTCATTGTATTATTTCCAGCTTCCAGAAGAGCCTTCTCACTTGTCTCATTGCATCTCTTGGTTTCATAAACTGGAAACATTAAGAGAGTGAGTCCTGCTTGCCTCACTTCTCATGTCTAAGGAAGTTGCAGAAGAACTCCCTCTGTGAAAAACACCCTGCTGGTGATTTCATTTTCTGTATGCAAGGTAGACTGGTGGCACTCCCTTCCACTTCTCTGGCTGGTGGAGATGAAATTATCAAAATGGCCTGAGCAACACACAGTGGTCACCCAACTCATGGGGTAAGAGGGATAGCCATGCTTCCCAGAGCTGGAACTAGGACAGGCAAGCTCAACCTTTACCATAGAATACTTAAAGGCAAAAACAATTAAATAATATGTACTGAAGTACTTGGTGAGGGGGAAACTATTTTATAAGCAAAAGAATCTTAGCATCTAAAAGATTTCCAAGGAAATAGTCTCCGAAGGAGATCTTCTACATTAGGGGAGAGTCCCTTGAGTGAAATCTCTCCACATCATGTAAACACAAAGTCTGACAAAAGATCCCTCCCCCTGCAAACTTTTAGTCATAAGAAAAATGCTCAGTGTTTCTTACCTATATCAAGCACAGGATCTTCATACTTTCCTGGAGAAGCGGAGCTCTCATTCCATATGGCCAATTCTGTGCTTTGAAGTAGTTGAGTAGCCTTTTTGGCAATGGACTCTTTGCTTCCATTGATATTTAGAATTGTCTTTCAAAGAAATAAAGCTAATTAGGTAGACTCGTACATAAACTTTAAAAAGCAGGAATGTACATAAGTATGATTGGGTGAGCCCAGAAAATAATAACATCTATTAAGGTGCTGCTAGGCTCTGCTATCAACCTGATATGACTTTTCTCACTTATCACTCGCAGCTCTGTGAGGACTGTATCCTTAGCTTAATTGTATTTATGAGAACATAAAGGCTTTAAAAATGAGGTATCTGGAACCTACAAAGAGTTTCTTATACAGGAAGATAGGGAATGGGAGGTGAATGGGAAGGGGATGAAATGAGGCTCTAGATGCTTGATGCAGGTCTTTGAACAACACCTGAAGCATGTAAACTCTTACCAAGGTATCTTAATCTTCTCAGTTGACATTTGAGATTAGATAATGGTTGCGGGAGGCTGTCCTGGGCATTATGAGATATTTAGCAACATCTCTGGTCTCCACCTACTAGATGGCAGTAGCACTGTAGTTGTGCCGATCAAAAATTTCCCCATACACTGCCCCAGACATTGTTCCCCTGGACAGAGAACAAAATCACTTCTGTGTGAGAGCTGCTATATCCTAAAAGTCATAGGAAGCTGTGGTAGTATTTGGGTAGAAGAATAATATGGACGACTAATTAGCTATTTCCCAAACCTAGCTTCACCTTACTCACCCAAAAGGTCTGTGATGACTGTGGTTTCTCACCATTGTTTTCTGGGAAAGAAAAGTAGACATTTAGTCAAATATGGGAGATCACACACCCTGGCTCACATCCCTTCTTCCAGGCATCCTTGAGTTGGGTCATTCCCTGATTCTTCCACATCATATCCTAGTTTTCCTCTGAGAAGCCCCAAATGTCTTCTATAGTAGAATAAAGGAGAATTAAGATAGAACTTCCAGTTCAATCATTCAGTCAATAGTATTTATTGAGCAATTACTAAAAATCAGACATGCCCAACCAATGTGGCTCAGCGGATTGAGCATCCTCCCATGGGCTGAGAGGTCCTTGTTCGATTCCCAGCCAAGGCACATGACTGGGTTGTGGGCTCAATCCCCATTAGGGGGCATGCAGGAGGCAGCTGATTTTTGTTTCTCTCTCACATCAGTGTTTCTATCTCTCTTCCTTTCTCTCTCTCTAAAACTTCAATAAAAACATTTTTTTAAAGCCAGACACAACACTAAACATTATGGATAGAGGTTGATTTAGAGACAAAGGGAATTCCCTTCTAGAGTTTACAGGCTGCCAGGAGTCATTAAGCCAATAATGGCAAACAACTGAGTAATTACAAAGGTACAAGATGTTAATAAATAGAATGAGATGACTTGGGAACATACAAAAGAGACCCTAGATATCAGGGGTGCAAAAAGGGCTTCCTGAAGGAATGGGTATTGATAGAATTAATTACATAGAAATAGTACTAATACTTGTCATTGTCTACACAGAACTGCATATAAAGTGCCTCCATACACATTATCTCATTTAAAGAAACTCAGAAGGTTCTAGAACAGAGTTATGTAGCACAATAGCTAACATTAACTGAGCCCTCCCAGCTGCCTAACACTGCACTAAATATTTTACATAATCATAGGTAAAGTGTATTCATTTACTAAGACTGTTGTAACAAAGTACCACAAACTGGGTTGCTTAAAACAATGGAAATTTATTCTCTCACGGTTCTAGAAAATACAAGTCCAAAATCAAGGTGTCAACAGGACTGTGGTCCTTCTGAAGGATTTAAGAGATATCCTTTCTGGCTGCTTCTAGCTTCCAGTGGTTGCCAGCAATCTTTGCTTTTTCTTGGTTTACAGCAGCCTAACTCCACGTGTGTCCTTATGTCCAAATTTCCCTCTTCTTATAAGGACACCAGTCATAATGGATTTAGGGCCCACCCTGATGTGATTATATCTGCAAAGACCTTATTTCCAAATATGATCACATTCATAGTTTCTATGACTGAACACAAATTTGGGGGAAGGTATTTCACCTAGTATGCAAGTTGAGAAAGTTGCTGAAATGACTCTCAGTTATCTCTGCCTCACATTCCTTTATTCACACCCTTGAGTGTGAATTCACTCTGCACTCTCACTCAACTCAGTGACTCATTTCTAATGAATAGAATACAGCAGAAGGGAAAAGATGTCACTTCTGAGGTTAGGTTGTAGAGGACTATGTTTTATGTTTTGTTCACACTCTCTTCCTGGCTATTCTCATGTGTTTGTTATAATAATGTAAGCTAGAGAAGCCAAAATATCTAAGAACGAAGGGCGACCTCTCCTCAACCACCAGAAAGAAAGTGAGGCCTTCAGTCCAATTGCTTTCAAAGAACTGAATCCTGCCAGCAATCATGTGTGAACTTGGAAGCACAGATAAACTTTCAGATAAGACTACATTCCTGACCAATACTTTGATTGTAGTTTTGAGAGACCTAGAAGTGGAAAACCAGGAAAACCACGCTTCAGTTCCTGCCCTACACAGACTGTGAGCCAATACACATTTGTTGTTTTAAGCCATTAACATTGGGGTCATTTGTTACTCAGCAAGACATGACTAGTACAGTAGATGCTACTACTATTCTTCCCACTTACATATGAGGCATGTAGAAGTCAGTCATTCCCCAAAAGTCAGCTGTAAGCAGTAGTGCCAGAAATCAAATCCAGTCTGTCTAACCCACAATATGGAATGATATTAGGAATTAACAAGTAATTCAATAGGTTGTGGATAGGGAGAGCCAGGTTTTTTAGTGTTGAAGAAAGAAATTACAAATAAGGAAAGAGGGAAGGCTGGATCAAGCCCTGGCGTTGGACTGGGATTGGAGCTATCGTATGAACTCGTGAATTTTGATACATAGACAGATAAAGTGAGTGAGAGAGAAACAAGTAGAGAAATCTAGTAGAAAGTTAGAGATGTACTTTTGGAAGCCCAGGAAAGAGACACAAATTTGTATGGCAGTGAGGTAGAGATGGTGATTGATACCATGGGCTTAAATAAGATCTGGGAAAATATTATAACAATGGGTTGAAAAACAAGGGCCAGGACAGATCTCTGCTCTCCTAACCTTACCTGACATTGGTGGTACTCTCAAAGTCTTCCCCCTGCCTCTCCTTGTTTATGGTGGAGTGTATTCAAGGTTCTTACCGTAACAGTCTGCGTGATTCAACTTAATGATTCCAGCCACCCAGTTGAAATAACGATAATTTGGGACACAGCTACAGTAGTAACTTCCAATTTCATTTTTGCAATATGATGTCTGCTTGCACTTTGCCAGCCCAGTCTTACACTCATCAATATCTATGAATCAAAAGAAAAGATCATTTTTTATTCTCATAAAACTATACTATTTTTCCTTTCTCATGGAATCTCTACTACCCAATATTGTTCAAAATGTACCATTTATTCTTGCATAAAATGACTCCACATTATAAATATGATAGTTTTCCTTAAGTTAATTTATAAATACAATACAATCCCAATAAAAAATATCTACAAGTATTTTATGAAGTAAGATGAGTTGCTACTATCATGCATGAATAGCCAAAAAAACTCTGAGGTGGGGACTAGTCTTCCAAGACATCAAAACATACTACAAAGTCTCAATAAAACAATGAGATACTGGTGCATGAAGAGATAGACTAGTTGAAGAGACTAAAGGTCCAGAAATAGACCCAAATACACATGGAGCTTTAGAATCTGATAACAGTGATATGTTAGATCATTGGACAACACGTTCTGCTGGCAAGACAGTGGGAAGACGGGTTTTCTCACGCATTGCTGGTGGGAATGCAAATTGGTATGGGCTCTCTGGAATTAAATTTGGAATATCTAAGCAAGCTACATATGGATTTACCTCTTGACTCAGCCATCTCACTTCCTGAAGGCACACTTCCACAAATATAGAACAGCCTAAATATCGGAAACAACTTAAATACCCATACTTAGGAAAGGGTTATATAAACTATGGTTCATGCCAAAGCTATAAAAAAGAAAATGGGGAATATCTCTATGAACTAATTTGGAGTAATTTCTAGGACATATTTAAGCTAAAAAAAAAAAAGGGCAAAAGGGAATCTATGGTGTCCTATCAAAAGTCATGCCCTGGCCGGTTTGGCTCAGCGGTTAAAGCATTGGCCCGTGGACCAAAAAGTAGGGAGTTCAATTCCAGTCAGGGATATGTACCTCAGTTTCAGTTTGGTCTCTGGCCCTGGTTGGGATCATGAGGGAGGCAGATGTGTCTCTCTCACATCAATGTTTCTCTTTCTCTCTCTCCCTTTCACTCTATCTGAAGATAAATGAAAAAATATCCTCGGGTGAGGATTTACAAAAAAAAGTGTCATGGTTGTAGAAGACAAGGAAAGATTGAAGATCTGTCACAGGTTAGACAAGACTAAGGGTCATGACAATTAAAGGCAAGGTGGGATTCTGGAATGGTTCTTGAGACAGAGGAAAAGGGAGCACTAGGGGAAGAACTAATGAAACGTGGAAAAAATCTGTAGTTTACTTAATATCATTGCCTGGTTTTGTTCATTGTACTGTGGTCATATCCTTGGTTAACCTCAAGGGAACTGAGTGAAGAAAATACAGAAATCACTGTGCTGATTTTGCAATTTTTATTTACGTCTAAAACCAATTCAAAATAAAAGGTTTAAAAAATAGATATATCCAGTATTATGATTCCACTCATAGGAGTATTCTAAGAGGAAACAAATGAACAGAAACAAAAAGTAGATGGTGGAAGCCAGGGGCTGGGAGTTAGTATTTAATGGGGACAGTTTCAGCTTGGGAGGATGAGGAAGTTCTGTGGATGGATGGTGGTGTTGGCTGCATGACAGTGTAAATGTGCTTAATGCCACTGAAAGGTACATCTAAAAATAGTTAAATAGTAAATTTTATGTTGTGTGTATTTTGCCACAATAAAATACAACAAGTCCTAGATAGTCTACCATTGTATGCTTCACCTTCTGAATTGACACTACACTTCCACCAATAAGATTTTCAGCACTCCAATTCAGGAGTGCCATTTTTGGGGGGCATTCAAATTGGCCTTTAGCATTTGTAGAAATGTAAATGAATTTTGGCTCAGGCAGATGGGCATAGTGAGAAGTGAAATTAGAAAACTAACTTGGGGCCAGATCATAGTGGATAGTGAGTGCCAAGATATTGATTGATTAATTGATTTGTTCTCTTGGTCTTTGTATTTTTATTGAGCATCTGCTATCCTAGTCACACAACAGTAAGAAACACAGAGATGGTCCCTGTTCTTGTGAAGTTCTCAGGCAAACAAACAAACAGAAAAACACCAGTGCTTAAGACTTCAAGAGCCCAGGGTCCTGGGAACTCTACCTTCCTCTGAAGAAAAATCAAGGATCATCAAGCCAGCATCAGAATGACAGCAGGTGGGTGCACAGGGTAGGGACTTCTCTAAGGTCTTTGGGACTATCTTGTAATAGTCTTTCATCTTTGCAGCACTAGCATCCCTATGTAACCCAGGGTTTGGGGCATAGAAGGATACCCTCCTCCCCTGCCAAACTCCCAGATGAATGTGGATTGCATCCTACCTTCACATTTCTCATAAGGATCAGTGAAGTACTTCCTCCTAGACTTTGACTGATACCCATCTTTACAAGCACAGTGGGTACCATTGATGTAGCTGGCATTTTCAGGGCATGGAGAGACAGCTGCAGGGAACACAAGATGCTTTCATTCATTTGCTTACTCACTTATTAAGAAATATTCATTAAGCACCTATGATTACCAGACTCTGTAGTCAAAAGAATGTCCTCTTGGAAACAGCTCTGTTGGCATCCTTTCTGCACCCATCCACTACTGAATACACATGCTCAAAATACTCAAACCATGTCCCATCTCTGCCACCAACAACACTTTTTTGACAGTGTAACTTCTCTCTAGCACCTGTGTTTCCTTACCCAGAGGCTTTCTTTGGCCACCAGACTCCTCTTTGCTCTCCACATGACAGGTAGCAATGCTTTCTCCCCTCAGAAGCAGCTTTCTCAATCAATGACTGACAAGAGTCGGTGCATTTTAAAAACCCAGTTATCTTATTATCAAAAATAGAAACTAGGATGTGGCAAACCTGTAACCCTAATGCACTGCTGGTGGGCATGTAAAATGGTGCAGCTCTTGTGAAATACAGTTAGGCAATTTCTGAAATAAAAGGTAGAATTCCTATATGATCTAGAAATTTCATTCATGGGTATATAGTCAAAAGAATTGAAAGCAAGGTCTTGAAGAGCTATGTGTATACCTATGTTCATAGCAGCGTTATTCACAGTAGCCAAATGATGGAAGCCACCCAAGTGCTCATTAATGGATTAATAGATAAAACAAAATGCGGTCCATCCACACAATAGAATATTATTCAGCTTTAAAAAAAGAAAGAGCTGTGGCCAGTTTGGCTCAGCAGTTAGAGTTTGGCCCTTGGACCAAGGAGTCGCAGCTTCAATTCCTGTCAAGGGCACATACCTCAGTTGCAGTTCAATCCCGGATCCTGGGGCCGTGCAGGAGGCAACCAATCGATGTTTCTCTTTCCCTCTCTCCTTCCCTCCCTCCCTTCCATTCCATCAGAAAATCAATGGAAAAATATCCTCAGATGAAGATTTTTGTTTAATTTTTAATAAAAATTAAAAAGGGAAAGAAATTCCAACATATGCTACAACATGGAGACATTGTGATAAGTAAATAAGCTAATCACGAAAGGACAAATGCTATATTATTCCACTCATGTGAGGTCCCTAGGGGAGTCAAATTATAGACAGAAAGTAGAATGGAGGGTTTAAGGGGCCATGGGAGGGATATGGGGTATTATTGTTTAATTGGGGAAAAAAACTTTAAGGTGCATACTTCTTACTATGTCCAACAGTTCCCATGAGATCAAGCTCCAGTTGGCCACATGTAACTTGCTGGATAATGGACCCTATATTGGCTCCTTGCCTTCCCACCTGACTTCCCACTCCCAGCTGGTGCTTCCTAGGATCACGTTCCAGATAAATGATTTGCTCTCAAGTACTTATCTCAAGATTTGCTTCTGGGAGGACCCAACCCAAGACATGAAGCAAAGGCAACACTATCTCCCAGAATAATTTGGCACACAGGCTTTTGGGAAAGAAAGGGCAGAGTCCAATGTCCACCAGCTGTGTGACCTTCACTAGAGGGCTATTGGTCAAGTAGGGATAATGTCAGAACTATCTTTGCAGGAATGTCACAAGGACTGAATGAGCTGGAGCATGCAGTTTGCTTAGCATTGAGCCTGGTGCAATACAAGAGCTAAATAAATGGGGGTGGTGATGATGGTGGAGAAGGAAGGGGTAGTCCTTGAGCTCCAAGGAGTAGTCAGAAGGCATCAGGAAATAATATTCTCTCCCATGAAAAGGACTCTTTCCCTCCTCTGGAGGCAGGCTGCAGACCCCAGTTTCCTTTCCCCTGCTTTTGACAATCATAGACTCACCTCCAGAATTCTTCGTTTCTGATCCTGACAGAGCTAGCAGGACACTCAGAACTGGAATAGAGAGAAGAGGATAGTTCAGGTGGGGGCTGCCCTGGGGTTCTGCTTGGCTGAGGCCTGAGTAAGTTAGGGGCTTCATCTCCCATTGTTCACTTTACTGTAGACTCTTCCAGGTAAAATCAAACACAAGGATCATGAAGGGCATCATATATTACTGCAGTATGAGAGGTACATGTATCTGATTGCAGCTGTAAGAGGTTCGACAACCAATTCTAATGTGCGTGGGGGAAGGTTCCCACACCAAAAAGCAATTAATTATTGGGCACCAATTTGGTGTTTTATGATTCAACTTAATTCTGACACTGTCTACCCAGAGACAGCATCAGATCCCACAGGTTAAGAGCTATAGATTGAAGATTCCAATGATCCCCTCCTTGGGTTTGATTAATTTGCTAAAGTGGCTCACAAAACTCAGAGAAACATTACTAGATCACTGGTTTATTTAAAGAGGATACAACTCAGGAACAGCCAGATGAAAGAGATGCATAGGGCCAGAAATGGGAAAGAGGCAGTGAGCTTCCATGTCCTCTCTGGGCACCATTCTCACAGCACCTCCAACTGTTCACCATCCCAGAAGCTTTCCGAACCCCATCCATTTGTTTGGGGGGGGGGGCTTTATTAAATAGGCATGATTGATTAACTGATCGGTCACTGATGACTGATTCAACCTCTAGCCCTCTTCCATCTCTGGAAATCAGGTAAGTTCCATGGTCAAAAGGGCAGCATAGGTAAACACAGTACTGATCTCCTCCCAAAACTGCATTAAAATTACAACTAGCCCTGGCCAGTTTGGCTCAGTGGTTAGAGCGTCCGCCTACGGTCTGGAGAGACCCGGGTTCGGTTCCCGCTAAGGGCACGTACCTCGGTTGCAGTTTGTCCCCAGCCCTGGTTGGTCGTGCGGGTGGCAGCCACTCGATGTGTCCCTTTCACATCGATGTTTCCCTCTCTCTCTCTTCCTCTCTCTCCCTCCCACTCTGTCTGTACAAAAAATGGAAAAATGTCCTCGGATGAGGATAAAAAATAATAATAATAATAATAATAAAATAAAATTTAAAAAATTACAACTAAACTACGGAACAACCATCCCTGAGAACCACCTGAAGTGGCCCTGGCCAGTTTGGCTCAGCGGATAGAGAATCAGCCTGCGGACCAGAGAGTCCTGGGTTTGGTTCCCACTAAGGGCATGTACCTCAGTTGCAGTTTGTCCCCAGCCCCGGTTGGGGTCATGTGGGTGGCAGCCAGTCAATGAGTCTCTCTCACATTTATGTTTCTCTCTCTCTTCCTTCTTCTCTCCCTCCTGCTCTATCTGAAGATAAAAGAAGAAAAAAATGTCCTCGGGTGAGGATAAAAGTCAGAAATGAAGACTACATAAGAGGAAAAATCAATAGCAGATTAGATAAAGCAGAGGATCAAATCAACACTTTGGAAGACAAGGTAGCAGAAAATATTCATTCAGAACAGCAAAAAGAAAAAAAAAAGAGTTTAATAAATAAGGATAGTTTAAGTGGACTCTGAGTCAACACTAAGCATACCAATGTAAATGGATTAAATGTTTTAATCAAAGGACATAGGGTGACTGAATAGATAAGAAAACAATACCCTTACATATGCTGTCTACAAAAGACTCGATTCAGATTGAAGGACACACATAGACTAAGAATAAGGGATAGAAAAAGATATTTCATGAAAATGGAAACAAACAAAAAGGAAGCTGGGGTAGCAATATTTGTACCAGCAAATTAGACTTTAAAACAAAGGGCTATAATGAGAGACAAAGACCCAGCAATTCCACTTTTGGATATTTATCCAAAGAAGCCCCAAAACACTAAATTGAAAAGACATATGCACCCCTATGTTCATTGCAGCATTATTTACAATAGCCAAGATATGAAAGCAACCTAAGTGTTCATCGATAGATGAATGAATAAAGAAGTGGTGCATATATACAATGGAATATGACTCAGTCATAAAAAAGGAAATCTTGCCATTTGCAACAACATTGATGAACCTAGAGGGTATTGTACTGAAATAAGTCAGAGGAGAAAGACAAATGCCACATGATTTCACTTATCTAAAATCTAGATAAGCGAAGTCTAAAAAACAAAATAAATGAACAAACAAAATAGAAACAAACAGATAAATATAGAGAATAGTTTGATGGTGGCTAGATAGGAGGGAGTTTGGGGGACTGGTGAAAAAGTTGAAGGGATTAAGAAGTAGGATTAAGAAGGGATTAAGGTGTAAAGGAAATATAGTCAATAATATTGTAATAACTATGCATGGTACCAGGTGGGTACTAGATTTGTCAGGGTGATCACTTCATAAGTTACATAAATGTCTAATCACTGTGCTGTACACCTAAAACTAACATATTGTATGCCAGTTATAATTTAAAAATAAAAATATATTAAATTTAAAAAAGAAACTGCGAGTTCCAACTTGATTGGCTCCACTGTCAACCAGCCCCTTTTCTTAAGTGAGTTCCAAAACTCACTTCATTAATATAACAAAAGCAATGTTATGGCCTCATCACGGGAAATTCCAAGGGTTTAGAAGCTCTGTGCTAAAATCAGGGACAAAGACCAAACATATATTTCTTATTATAAATCACAAGATCACAAACTGTGTGTCCCAATTTCTGAAAATCCATAAAGTTTTTTCTCCAAGGCTAGTACCAAAAGGCCAAGTTTGCAACAGTCTAGCTTTATCAGTCCAGATCACTAATCCCACACTGTTCAATAGAAATATAATGCATGCCACTTAGTTCCTTTTACATTTTCTAATAAGTTTATTTTTTAAATTCTCATCCTCTCCCTTCTCCCCCTTAGGCAACCACCAGCTTGTTCTCTATATGTATGAGTCTGTTTCTGTTCCAGTTTTGTTCATTGATTTGTTTTGGGTTTTTGTTTTTTTTATGAGACTGAGTTTTTTTGGTTTTTCTGTTTTTTTAGATTCCATATAAAATTGAAATCATATGGTGTTTGTCTTTCTCTGTCTGATTTATTTCACTTAGCATAATACCCTCTAGGTCCATCCATTCTTAAAAGACATCGAGAAACAGGTGACATTAATTTCAATAACATATTTTATTTAATCAAATATAGTCAAATGTTATCATTTCAACACAATTAATATAAAACAAATTATTCATAAAATATTTTACATTCTTTGCTATGTGTATTAAGTCTTTGAAATCTGGAATGCATTTGGACTGGCCTTATTTTGAGTGCTTGGTATCTACATATGGCTGGTGGCTATGGTACTGGACAGCCCAGGTCTAACCTCTTAATAACCAGTGTATTATCTGGAATGAGAAACTTTAATAATACAGACCATAAGATTCCCAGGACTCCACGACTGTGGCAAATTTGGAACAAATCAGGATGTTTTCAGGATGATCTATTTGAGGATGACCTAAAAATGTCTACCATATGACTAGACAGAGCTTCATACTGACGCTGAAGATGAATCAGAAATGTAGACTACTTTGCCACAAGTTTACAAATATCACCCCCTCATAGTAGATGGGCTAGACAGCCAGGCATTGGGAAAAGTATTTGCCCTTATCCCTTTCATTGCAAGCTGGGTGAGTTGGTATCTTTTTATTTATTTATTTTTCTTTATTGATTTTTAGAAAGAGAGGAAGGGAGAAGGAGAGAGAGATAGAAACATTGATGAGAGAGAACATGGATTGGCTAACCCTGCATGCCGCCCACTGGGGATCGGGCCCACAACCTGGGCATGTGCTCTGTCCAGGAATCAAACCGGCAACCTCTTGGTGCATGGGTCGATGCTCAACCACTGAGCCACACCAACCAGGCGAGTTGGAATCTTTTACTAAATTTTGGAGGAATCTGTTTTCATGGCCAACATCAGCCCCCGAAGGGTTTATGTGGGACAAATCCAGGTATCTTGGATTTGTATCCTATGCAAGGGGGAGAAGCAAGGACTCCTTGGATTATCACAGAACAAGAAAAGTCTCCTGGACAAGGTAAGGTCAACACCTACTCTTCCTACCTCCTCTGCTCTATATCGTGAGTACTTACAAAAATATCATATTTAAGGATTCATACTGATAGCGGTACAAGGGTAAAATAAAAATATGATTTTTGTTTTTCCCCTCTTTTCTTCCTTTCTCTTATCTTTCTCTCCCTTTTTAGTAACAGAATATGTAATGGATTAGTTAGCTGTACATGTTTAACTTTATGTTCTGGCTAAGTTTTGTTGCAGTTCTCAGTTGACCCAACAAGAACAAAGAGACTTTTTTAATTCAGCCCACGCCTGGCCACCAGGAATGTGGAGGGTGATTGATTAGGTCTCAGAAACACTGGGATAACACACACCCCCTCACCGCTTGACCAGTTTCAGAACACTGACCATCCTGTTCTGGGGACCAGAACTGAAGACATTCATCAAGACCCAAGATGCCCACAGACACTCAAATTCCATGGCTGCAAATCACCAGAATCCCCGTTTACTATTTACCCACATTCCTTTTCCCTGATTCTCCTACATAAGCTTACTCCTAACAAGCATAACAGGAAGGTGGATGTTGGGGTTTTTACTTGTCACCTTTCCAGATTTCTGATATCTGATATTATTAAATTCACATTTATAATCCAATACCTGTCTCTGCTTTTTGGCTGGGTAGTGACAGGTAGCACCAGCCTCAGACTCGGTTGACCTCCATTTACAATACTATTAGGCTGAATCATATGACATGGCTACTTCTGTAAGTCAGAAATGCTCAAACATCAGCAATTTCCCTGTGAGTGCTTTTTTTCACACACAAAATGAATTCTCAGGGAGCAAACTGCAGCCCTTGGGCCAAGTCCAGACAGTTTTTGTGCTAAGAATGGTTTTTATGGTTTTTAAATGGTTTAAAAAATCAAGAGGAAGAATATTTTACAGCACGTGAAAATTATATGTAATTCAAATTTCTATGTGTATAAATCATGGCAATGCCCTCTAGTTCACATAAGGTCTGTGGCTTT